GTGGTATACCAGGCAAAATCAATGTTTGCAATTAATGATAGGTGATGTGGTTGAGAAGAATTTTGAGATTGAGCATCGTGTTTTCAGGGAAAGGAGGAAGAGAATGACATGTATTAAAGTAGAGAGAGAAAGAAAATAATGTTACTGAATAACGTATTTAGTGGCTTAAGAAAAATTAGATATTTTGCTATAAACATTAAAAGGTATGTATAGAATATAATTTTTTTAAATGGTATTTATTTAATAAAGGTGTTAACCTTTGCTATAGGAGGTAAAAATTCCTTAAAAAATAGCTATTGTAATGTAGTTTCAAAATCTCACTAGTGAAATTTTAGGATATTGAAACTTTATGACATTATTGACTATTGTTCAATTACAAATGGCTGATTTGTGAATTTTATCCTGCATACTGCATTGGTAAGTTCTAAGAGAGGAAGGGGGGGGGGGGGGGGAGGTGCCTAGTTTATTAGGTTATTTATGAATGAATCAATTATATTTCATCGTATATGAATGAATGAAATAGACATGGTGTAGGCTTTTCTGCTTATGCATTTAGGTTATATCTACTAATTGATCACACTGTTTCTGTTTACATTTCTCTATTCAAGGGTTTGTCTTTTGGAGTGTACTATTTTCTTAATATTATAAACTTATTCCCTCCGTCTCATATTTTGTGTCTTATTTCTCTTTTACACACTCTTTAAAAAATATTAATTAGGAAAAGGATTGGACTATCTTACCCTTATTTATGTTTTAAGATATAATCTCTCTTCATTGAATACTTATTCTATTTATATGTTATCTACATCTTTAAGAACAATTATTACTAAGTGTAAAAAAGAAAAAAATAATTAATTTTTTCTTAAACTTCTAAAATAATAAATATTTTGAGATAATTATTTTTAGTAAACAAGACTTTTAATATGAGACGGATGGAATCTTTAGGAGCCAACTAAGATTTTGTTCAACAAACAATATCAGATGATTGGGCGATCTGTCCTCGAACCAAGAAAGCCTGACTACAAACTTAGAAATATAAGAAAAAGAGGAAGATTATACAATTGTCCTCAGAATTATTAAATATATCTAGAAACTTGGAAGATGTCAGAACAACATTACAATTGTCAAACTTTTGTCTTTTGATATGAGATCTCATGCCTAGTTGTAGAAATGACAGAATAGTTTTCTTTTTCTTTTTTTCTGTTTTTTGGGATTTTGTGGCAATGGCTTGGGATGTGGACAAAGATTAGTTATGGTCAATCATTTAGAAACTTAGGGTGGTAAAAGTAGCATGAGTTTAACTTCTACGACAATGTAAACACAACTTTACACAATTAAGTCATTCAAAAACTAAGGAGTACTCTGGTAGAAGTAAAGATAATTTTAGTATAAAAATTTTGGACCGTCTTGTTCTTGGTTTGGTTACTAATTTTGGGATAAATTATGCCAATACTAAAAAAAATATTGGGATAATTTATACCTATCAGAGCGTGGAATAGTAATTCCAGGATAAAATAGTAAAATTAACAATTTCAGAATTAATACAACATATCAAACAGTCAATAAGAAATAACTAGGATGTCTAATCTCAGCATAACTAATTCAAGCGTAACTCGTTTTCAAAACAAACGACCCCTAAGATTCTCACTTTCGTGTGTATTTTTACACTATTACCTGCAATAATTAGGAATAACTATATATAGAAAACAAAGGTATATGATAACTTAGAAAATAAAGTAATTAATCTATTATAATAAGTTGAATGATACTTATAGTAAAAAGTCCTTACAAAGACATATATAATTTAAATTTAGAAATTAACTACAAGTATTACTTAAATACCCGAAGGATCGGTAAAGCACGCTCCAAGGCCCGGTGAATAATGGATCAGTCCCTCCAGGACGGATGCACATAGGATGAAATTTTTAATATGCAACGTTTATGTTTTAAAAAAAAAGTTATTTCGTCAATGTGTATAAGTTAAATCTAAAAAAAAAGTACAAAACAAGCAGTTTCTGTGGACAAAATATTACTTTGGCGTTTCTGAGGACTAACAGCAGCATTGACTTTTGTCAACACTGCTGGCAAAGCAGAGGATTAGTTTAGTTATCCGAATATCTATTGGGAGTAGTTAGTAACTGACATTTGTAACGTTTAATAAAGTCTGGATTTGCTTTTCTCCATTTGTTTAATGTTAAATCTTTCTCTAAGTTGAAAAAAGCAAATAACAATTAAGACATATTACATGCTTTTCAGAATATTACAATCTGTAAAGAAAGAAACAGACTTTAAACAAAATCATTGTTTTAAAGATCTTTGACCATCATTTCAGTTCACAAAATCTCCCAACTTTTTCAGCATATTTGAATAAACCATCCACAGTTCCTGCAAACAAAAAAAAGAAAAGAAAAATGGGTTCTCAAATTCTTTGGTTTCTTCTATTGCTAACTCTCACAACCATATGCAAAAGCAAGTCATGTCATCCAAATGATTTAAAGGGTCTTCAAGATTTCAAGGCTAGAATTCATTCAGATACTTCTGGCAGATTAAATAAATGGAAAAGCCAAGATTGTTGCAAATGGGAAGGCATTTCTTGCAATAATGAAAATGGTAGAGTTGTACAAATCAATTTACCAGGTCTCTATACTTCAGGTAATGCACCATTTCAATCTACTATGGCAGGAGAATTATCTCCTTCAATTACACTTCTGAAGTTTCTTGAGGTTATCGATATGAGTGAACTCGTTGGACTCGCGGGGCAAATTCCTCCTTCCATTGGTTTACATCTTCCAAATCTCAGAAAACTCAACTTTCTTAGTAACAATTTTAGTGGTTCATTACCACAAAGCATATGTAAGTTGTCTAAACTTGAAGAATTGTATCTCCAAGAAAATAGCTTTTCTGGTTTTCTTCCCTCATGTATTGGAGGTCTCAAGAATCTCAGAAGATTGGATATACATTCAAATAAACTTTCTGGTGCAATTCCTGAGTCTATAACAAGCTTGACAAATTTAGAAAGTTTGTGTTTTCAAGATAATTTCTTGAATGGGAATATACCAGAAAACATTGGCAATCTGCAAGTATTGAAAGAGCTTGATTTATCTAATAACTCATTAACCGGGATAATCCCTCGTTCCGTTGCTAAACTGTATTCCATTTCAAGTCTCTACCTAAATGACAATCAGCTTGAGGGAGAGATAACATTGCCTTCAAAACCTGGCCAGTTGTCTTCTCTGCAATTTCTAAGACTGCAAAATAATCGCCTCATTGGAACGATACCTCCATCGATTGGTTACTTGACTTCCCTTCAGAGACTTTCACTTGAAAATAATCAGCTTAAGGGTACTGTTCCTTCTGGTTTAGGTAATCTGAAGTCACTCACACAGTTATATCTCAGTTACAACCAGTTATCTGGTCAGTTACCACGATCAATAGGCGAGATTTCTCAGCTTCTCCTGTTGAGTATATCTCATAACATGATTGAAGGACCATTGCCTCATCAAATTTCTTCCCTTTCAAATCTTCAATCATTGGATCTATCATTCAACCTTTTGAAAATGTCAACCATTCCTAAGTGGCTTATGCAGTTGCCATCACTGTCGCGTATCTACTTAGCAGGATGTGGAATTCATGGTGAAGTTCAAGATTATATAAAACCACTAGCCAAATCATTGCAAGAACTAGACTTGTCAGCTAACCAACTTTCAGGAAGGATTCCTGTTTGGATCGGTAGTTTTACTCAGCTCTATACTTTAAATCTTTCAAATAACAAGTTTGTTTCTGAGATTCCCTCTACTGTCACAAATCTTGAAAATCTTGGAGTTCTAGACCTTCACTCTAATAAGCTAGAAGGCAGTGTGAATTCAGTTTTCCAGATGAAGAGCAGGTTTGAAGGAGGATCATTGGCATATCTTGATCTTTCCGATAACAGTTTCTCAGGTGTCATTGACCAGATTGGGAGGGGAGGACAAGAAAATATCCGATACTTGAATTTATCGCATAATTTTCTCAAAGGTAGATTACCAACATCCATAGGAGCATTGATATCAGTACAGACATTGGATCTCAGTTATAACAGATTAGGCTCTAACCTGCCAACATCACTGGCCAATGTTAGCACTCTGGAGAGACTGATGCTGCACAAGAATCATTTCACCGGCAGAATCCCTGAGAAGTATTTAAAGCTGAGAAATCTGAAAGAGCTGAACCTCTCAGATAATCTTCTGGAAGGGAAAATACCTTATGGGAAGCCATTTGTTGATTTTCCTAAAAGCTCATACTCTGGAAATAGAGGTTTATGTGGGAAACCACTTCCTCCCTGCAAATCTTGAACTTCAACTTTTTGTTGTTCTTCACATAATTTTATAGAAACAATTTAATACAGAAGATCAAACTGCAAATGCAACTCTTCACTTCAATCTTTCGGTCTTGTCATTGTTTTGGATCAGCTCACTATATACATTTAGCAGGTAACTTTATTTGTTAAGCATCCAATGGTAATTTATAGAAATTGTGACTATCTGATATGACAGGCCAAATTACACTGATAGCATAAACAAATTTTACACTGTCAGTAGAAATGTATGCCTATGTGTCATCTATAGGCCACAAGTTCGAGCCGTGGAATCAGCCGCTTGATGCTTGCATTAGGGTAAACTGCCTACATCACACCCCCTTGGGGTGCAGCGCTTCCCGGAGCCTGCATGAACTTGGGATGTTTCATGCACCGGGCTATCCCAGTAAAAAGTATGTAGTTATGGTGAAAATCAAAACTGAGTGTCCATACACATTAAAACCTTATCCTACCCTCATATATTGGCATTTAAGAACACAAGTATTAAAAGTATCTGATTTTGGTGAAAATCAACACAAGTATCCATTACATATGAAGACCTTTACCTCCCCCACATATTGGCATTTATTTAACATCAAAAGCACTAAAAATCTGGTGTTGCTGCAAAGTTAATTAAACAGATTGTTATATTATCAAACAAAAAGAATGAATTAGAATTTATTCCATTAACTGATTTCTCAATGTCGTCCATGAATTCATACACGTATATAGCTAATGCAGTATGCAATCGACTTGTCCAGAACTCATGTCATAGTAATCTGAATGCGAGAAATCATCCTTAGCAGTTCCCATGGAACCTGCTACACTTATAATCTGCTTGCATTATGGAGACACCGAAGATTTTGATAAATGGAGGAATGGAAAGACAGAGAGGTAGGCACCAAAAGCGAGGGACAGCTGAACTTCTCTAAGTAACTCTCTTTATTTGCCATATCTTAACACTTCCACTGTCTGTGCAGCTATTCAAGGGGCTCTCTATTCCGACCCCAGTTGCTGATAATTTGCATAATCAATTTCATTTAACCGTATACAACATAAAACCTGCTCCGGCAATTCTTCAGCTTTATTTCCCTGCTTGGAAAGTGGGAAAAGGCATTACCTAGATGGAAAAAATGACTTCCAAGGCCGAAAAATAATCTGGAAAAGAAAAGAAGAAAAAGGAATGGTACGTCGGAGACAAATATTTACCTGAATTGTTAGCCCAACATCCAAGCAACAGAGCTTTAGCCTATCTAGGAATGTCTCAAAACCCTTTCTAGAGATGTAACTGAATCTATGCATATCTATGTCAATCTCAAAGTAATTCTCTCCCTGCAAAAAAGATCATTAGCAACCGACGTCAGATTCAAAACCTTGTTACATATTTCTTTCTTAATCGAGAAATTGGGCCACACTCTAGATGTATGCAAACTGAAGCATTTGTAAATAAATTTTCGGATGAAATTTTTTAGGTGAAGTATGCTTCCATAACAAATGCAAAGCAAAATGTGTAAAAATCTAATACTTTCAGATGAGAAGTTAAAATGTGTGTCATGAGAAGGAGAAGTTTTCCACATAGAGAAAGAGTGTCTCCAGCAATTTACGACAAAAGATGGTTCATGTTTCATCTGTCATTCTAAAAAAGCTCTTCATTCATTCAGTAATCTTTGTTGATAGGTAAATTACTTTATTATCCAAGCCACCGAAGAACTATCTTAATTTACACCATACTAGTGGATGATTTTTCGCCATTCAAAATGGCATGTCACCTTTTTCCTTAAAAGTAAACGTTAAAAGGGAATGACAGCATTTACACAAATCATTCGGTTGGACTTTTAACAAATTTGAGTAGAACAAGAAGTACAGCCAAATCAGACGCAAATCTAAAATGAACAAAATCTGGGTTAACTTTACCTTGTAAAACTGATGTTGAGGACGTGAAAGAACAGGCTTTTCATTGTAGGCATGCATAAGCTTCCTCTCTGCAGCACTTAATGGAAGGTCCTCCATATTTGCAACACGTCCCAATATCTTCAATCTTTCCCTGAAAGGTGCAGTATGTTCAACAGGAAAAGCCCTTACTTTTTCCACTTCGTCATCAATCAGCCTCTGTCCAAGATAAGAGCAGGGGAGGAAAGTAATAACTATTTGTCAAATACTAACTCGCTAACCAAAATCTGATAAGAATATATCTAATAGTATAAAATGGAGAAACTGACAGTATAAAAGAGTGATTTTGAAACAAGTTATACACAGAAAAAAGAGGAAAGAAAAAGGATAAATATGAGAAAACATGAATTCTCAAACTTACCCTGATATTCTCTTGAAAATGAGGTGGAAGTTCCTTAGCATAACTTTCTGAAAGCTTAAAGTACAAGACAAAACTCATCCCTTCACCATCAATTTCGCCCTGAAAAATTGCGGTAGGATATAACGGGATCTGCAGAAGAAAACAGCACCTCAGCAACATGAGGAAATAGTTACATATAAAATGGATAATCCAATGAGTGTAGAACATTAAGAAAGTAAGGATAAAGTGGCAAATCCTATGAATATAGGCATTAAGAAAGTAACCAATGATGCCTACACGGGTACATTTAATTCCACAGCACATATGAAGTATGAAAAGGCTGAGTTGAGCGCTAACAGGAGCACTTTGGGGGCATAGAAAAGCTAAAACCAAAAGGCAAGGCTAAGCATGGTATGAAATGGCTGCATACAGATAAATGATTAAATGACTACTCAAATAATGAAACACGGTATAATTAGGACACAATTAGTGGTTACGCTACATTTCATATATACTCAATTAACCCATGAGGGGGGCCAAATATTCCTATTCAACTAGCTTTTATAAAATTTAAAACTGATGCAGAATACTTTAGACTTTGAAGAGAAAAATAAATTGCACCAACAATCTTAAAATGAACAAAGCAGATAACATTGAAAAAACTTTCAGAATCTTGAAAGCTTTTATGAAGTTAGATCAAGAAAAAAAATGAAATAAATACTCATTTACATAAATTCTAAAATAAATGATACCTGGACATTCACGACAAGAATGGGAGGAAGTGTCCCAGAATGTTCAATGACGGGAAGTTCCACAAGTCGAGCTATATGAAATATCTTTCTCTGGCTTAAAAATACATCAACACCAAAAGGATAATATGCTGCATGATTTGGAGCAAGTACCTTCTTTTTATCCCTGCACAAAGCAAATATGTGATATGAAATATCATATACAAGTACAACATAGGAACTAGTGCGATTATCAGATGGATGTTCTCTAAGTTTTTACATGATTAAACACAGTTTTATATAAGCTTTTGTACGTAACTCTGGGCATGTGAGCACTTAAAGAAGGAAGCACTTTACCTGAAATAGTTTTCTCCCCGAACCCTGAAAGTGCCCGGTTCAATCTGGGACCAACTATCAGGCATTTTCTTCTCCAACGGGCAAACTGGTACTTGGGAACCAGCTATTGGTCTTTGAAGCAGGGCTTTAGACGAAACTGTACCACATAAAGGATAAGAGTCAGTTTGTTTTTCCTCATTTCCCTGATCCGTTAAACAGATGGAAGATGATGGTACTCATTCCTATCTACAAATCAAAATCTGGAGTGCAGCTTTCATACTGAAAATTGACTTATGATTCTATCATTATCCACTTACTCTTGATCATACTAACCCTGTTCCTCATTCCTTTCCTTCTCTTCCTGATTTCACTAGTTTGTTTTATAACGGAACATCAACAAACATTGTACATTTGACACTAGTAACAGCAGGGAGTAATTTAGATATCTCTCGAATCAATTGTAACAAATATCCTCCATTTGGATTTTCATTAATGAGTCAAATCCCTGAAATAACCTGACCTCCAAAATGCCCAAAGAAATCATATTTATTGCGATGTATCAATACTAAGTTGCTATCTTACGACAAGAGAGGGTTGCACAAGTGGTAAGCATCCTCCGACTGTAAGGTTAAGGTATTTATCTATCAGTACCAGTTCAGACTCAATGAACCTATGCCAATTATACCGTAGAAAGAAGAAGAAAACAGTTCAAAATTGTCCACAACTGTTTGCAAGCAATATTTCTAGGAGCGCCGAGGATAACGTAAATTCCAAAGAGTAATTCTTCTTGGCATCAGATGGCACAAACATTTTCTAATAAGAAGATGATAGTTGAAGAATATAACAAGTTCTTTTTGGAAGAAAAAGAAAATTCACCACAACAATACTAAATCCTATAATAGGCTGAGGTCAACAAAGCAATTCATGAAATTTCATTTTCCCCATGGTTGATGGAAACATAAATCAGTTGATTCATTCTGTGCAATTGGTAAAAGGTAGTCAAAAACTAATTTCAGAAAGAGCATTGAAAAGTAGAAATAAATACGAACACCGAATCACTTATGGATGCACATGGATAAACACTACAGTGAAGCAACTAGACCACAAGGGAAAAAGGGGAGACATAGAAACTTACGCAAAGCAGCATTAGGATTTCCTTCTCTCCATTTGAAAGGAAGTTTTAAGGCAGCTTTCTTCCTAGCACTTGGAGAATTATCGCTAAGAGATCTTCTCTTCTCAACTGGTGCAACCGTGGAAGCAAGACAGGGCAAACAGTTGTTTGAAAGAATTCCACAGTTATCCAACAAACCATCTTCCCTGCCGCTGCTTTCATTAGCCGAGGAAGAGATTTCATCAATAAATACAGGCTGTACCTCACTGTGGGGTCCATCAAGTTTCGTTCTAGAATCTGCATCTTTTGGATGCGGCAAATTGTTTGGGTGGGCATGGACCTCAGCATCCCCATGATTGGCATCTCTCAAAGAAGCTACGCTGGTTCGCCCACAATCAAAGCTGTTGAGAGAGAGCACATCTGCAGAATATTGTGTTTACATTTCTATTCTTAAATTTCACAACTGCAGATAGAATGTAAAGGCTGAAGTTAGAAAGCCATACCATCAGCAACGCTCTGGAAATCTTCGTCACTGCCATCAGAATCGAATATTGCAGCAGAATCAAACCATGCTTCCTCAGTGCTTCCTGTTTTTGCGTTATAGCACTAAATGTTAGAAAAGGTTGGTAGTGATGTTTTATCCGCTATCCAGCTTTAGGTTGAACAGATAGAAGTAATGTGAAGTTAAACTATGCAAAATATCCCTCCCGGGAATGACGGAAGGTAATTGAAGATATGATAGAGAAGATATCGGTCATGATCTAAAGGCACCTGCTTAGTCCAATTTCAAAGGCACACCGCTCATTTTAGAAGTGAAAACATTGCAAGGATATTAGCAATTTTTAGTAATTTAGCGTTGTATAAGATATATAATACACCATCAATTAACATTATTAATATAAGAGAACAGCTTGAATCTTTCTTTGGGACTTCAATTGGTACTGTGAGATACATCCAAGCACATTTATAAGCGCAGTATCTTTATAATTTCCATTAATCACACTGTCTATTTTGACACAAAGAATAAGCAATTATCCATATCCTCGTGTTACATTCTCATAATCATATTTCATTTAGACAGTCAACCTAAAAGAAGAGGGCCAAATTTATAAACTCGCTTCCATTAGTAACGGTATGGTTTATTCAAATACTAAGTGTCAAATTGTCAAGAGAAGGATAGCATAGTAGTTAGGACTCTCTACCTCCAACCACACGTTGGAGATTCAAATCGACAAGGGAGCAAAGTGGAAAGGGAAACTGTTTGGCTCCTAGATGAGGATATGGGGGAGTGGGGCTTACCATATTTCAAAAAAAAAATCAAGAAAGAAAGAAATCGTTGAAGAAAAACCTTGGTACGCATTTCACCTATCAGCACCACACAGGTGTGTGCTAATTAAGTTGGCAAAGATTAATGACATTTATCAGCTACTATATCTCATAAGGAGAAAAATTTTAAACCTTTTTAACAATTTGGGCATCGCCTCCTCATCTCTCTAGGATTTGTACCTAGCTATTTATACACATTGCAATCTAGACTACCCATACCATACACTTAAATCGATTTAAATAGGTGCATAACATGGACAATAAAACTGTCAAAACAGTTCCTTTTCCTTTCCCCTTCCTCCTTCATCCAGTAATTAGCACAAGCCTTTCTTCTGCTATGTAAAGAATCGGCTACACTATGCCATTAAAGCATTTTGTATAACAATGTTGTCCCAGCTAACTTGTGCACACCTCAACTAATCCACAGTTACCTGCTACTTGTACGCTATTAAAGCATAATTTCACATTCCCTTGAACTCACCACTTCTCTACCCTTTTCCAAACCCAAANAATTGTGGGCATCAAGAAATATAATCGTTTAAATGAAAAAGAAGGAAAAATCCAAAAACTAAAATATAAATCTGGTCTTTATTAAATTAGAAAGAAGAAACCACACTCCTACCTTGTTTACACTAAAAGATTATAAAAAGGGTGTTCAGAATAAGCAAAAAAATCATTTGTGGATATCAAGAATTATAGCTGATCGTATAATTCTTTTTGTTCAAGAAAACGAATAAGAAATAAAACCCACAAATAAAGATTTGATCTTTATTAGATTAGAGAGAAGAAATGTGAAAAAGAAGAGAACTTTATGAGCAATATTCTCTCCTTCTTCCTTCTAATTCATCTTCTCTCTTAAAGTTATAAAAAAAATCATTTCCTTTTTTCTTTTAATTTACCTGATTTTCAGAGCTACAAATGAGCTTAAAAAATTAAAAAAAATGAAAACAAACAAAAAACAAAATTCCAAACTTCTAAGTACCACCCTGGGAACAGAGAAAAGTCAATTTTGTGGTAGTATAAAAACTCTCTCACACACACACAGAGAGGTAAATATACTAGTGCCGGCAGTTGGATCGGGCCCGATAATGGGGATCCATTTAAGATGCCACGTGGCTGGAGATGAGAAACCGGACGTGCGTGGAATTGTGGTAAAGGTCTTTCAGAGTTTCAGTTCGCACGTGGGAAGATTAGTCAGTTTTTTTATTTTTTTATTTTTTTTCGAAAGTAGTCAGAATTTTATGATAATGTTTTTTGGATGTACTTTTGGAATTTAGTATTTATAGATTTCATGATAGTTTCACGTTTCTGTATGTCAGAATCCAAACACAGTAGGAGTACCTTTTTTTGCCATTTTTCTACAATTTGCAACTTTGTTGAACAACCATGATACTAAATTCTTCTTTTCTTTTCTTTTCTTTTCTTTTTTTTAATTTTTATTCGGTGCTCGATATGTATTGATTATAGATGGAGAGATCACAACCTTAGGGGTCGTTTGGTAGGAGTTATAAGAATAGTGTTGAATAGGGTATATTAATAATGATGGTATTAGTAATGTTGGGATTAGTTATATTGACATTAGTTATTCTGAGATTATTTCTGATCCACTGTTTGGCTTGGTGTATTAAAGCATTGCATAATTTCTTTAAAAAATAGTTGTTTATAAAAACACCCTCCACATTTTTTAGCTTTGTACACTTTGAGAAATTTGAGGGGCAATTATGTCTTTAACCATGCTTATACAAGTATTAAAACCCTGCATTATTAATACCATGATTTGCTTGTATTAGTTATACATATGATAATACCAAATAAAATGTATAACTAATACTGTATTAGTTAAATATAGGAAGAAAAAACATACCAAACAAGAGATTAGTAATGCATAAAGCTAATGTTTGCATTGTTTTTTCTATTATCTCCTGCCAAACGGCCCCTCAGTGGACATGCTTGATGCTACCAATTGACTCGGCCTCTTGTTACTCTTTTGGTTTACTGAACAAGAATGGTACTATTATTTAATTACGAAAATATTTGTAACAATATAATATTACTCCTATATGATTTCTAGTAGTTTTCTTTAGACTCTAAATTTGAAAATTACATAAACTGGAACAAGTTTTGGAAGGAAGAGAAAAACTTGAACACTTACGTACATAACTTGTATCATTGTTCTTTTAATGTTCTCACTAAGGAAATGAATAAATACAAGATAAATATAAAAACGATCATATTCATCAAAGTGTAATTTTATTTGTTTCCGATTTACATATTGTTTTTTTTTCCTTCCTTCTATCAAGTGTATATACTAGGACAGATGGTTATTGTAAATTCTTTGGTTAAAATCAGAAATTACATATATTAACTAAAAAAGGAAATTACAGCAGAGTTGTCACATACAGATCTTCCTATCACATTGATTAAACAAAGTAAAAAAAAATGAAATAAAATTACTTTTGATTTGACAAGCGATGGATTGCCCTTTACTTTACCTGACGAGTAATAATGTTAGTTTTGAAAATCTCAACTACCAAAAGGTCTAACTTTAAAAAGAAATTACATCATTTATTTGATGGTAAAAGTATACTAAAGTACCATTAATAAAGCACCGTCATAGCCACTCATTTATTGTAATTTCAAGGTTTGGATAGCGGCAGTTACTTCTCTTATTTATTACTCTCTTCGTTTCAGCTGGATTCTTAACTTTTAAAGGTAAAAATGAGATTTTTATAGTTACAAAACATATTTTATAATAAAATAAGAAATTTATAGTTAATTTAATTTTACTATAAAAATATACTCCTCCGTTTACTTTTATTTATTCATTATACTGAAAATATATTTTCACTTTTACTTGTCTATTTTAACAAATAAAGAAAAAGATAATCTTTTTATGTTTTTCTCTTATCATTAACTGCTCGTTCCACAAATTATTTTAAAAGTTTTTTGAAATGTTATCATTGTTATGGGTAAAACTGTAAAATAATATTTCATTTTTTTTCCTTAAAAGAAGTGTGAAGCCAAAAATTAAAAGTTAACGGAAGAAGTATTTTGTAAATAGACAAATAAAAAAACCAGTAAAATGAACACAAATGGAATATTAAGGACCCGTTTGGCCATGAGTTTTGCCAAAATAAATTTGCGATTTATTTTCAATACTCATGTTTGGCCATAAATTTTGTCTATATTTTGGCAAAATCCCAAATCTCAAATCCCAAAATCACCCCAATTGCTGATTTGGGCCAAAATCCCAAAATTTGGGAATTATATATATATGTTTTCCAAAATAAAATTGGGAAATATGTTTTGAAAACGTATGACCAAATACATTTTTATCTTCAAATCAAACTTCACCCAAATTAAATTTTTCAAAATAAATTTGGGATCTATGGCAAGAGGCGGGCTAAATATCTGGATTTATGAACAACTCCTAGTTCCCTAGGTCAACTATGACGCAGGTCTGTAGTAAAAAGTACTACTACTTATTTCTTTTTGTGTGGTTTAACCCTTTCTCTATTTTTCCTATTTTTATTTGGTTAGTACGTTTTTAAGGGTCGTGTAATTACGAGGTAAGGGGTTATTCTAATATAGGATTTAGGATTAAATTTGCTCAGTGTTCCTGTGTAGATATGAGCTGAGACAAAGTTAGAATTTGAAATATATTGGTTCGAATTCTAATTTGTTTAAATTATTGAGCTCTAAATTATCCTTGATAATTTATATTATTTAATGAATTTTTTAAAATAATTACGTGTTTTGGATCAAAGCTATTGAATTCGATTGAACCTGCAACCATAAGGCTAACTCCGCCCCTTGATATAAGACCGGGATAAAATTTATACCAAAATCATAAGACTATTTATTCCATATAAAAGGTGATATTATATATCTATCATGTTATTATCCTAATTATAATCCTAAGATAATCATCATTTAAACCAAACGACCCATTAATTGTTTTATTCTCGTGTCAAAACTCAAAACAAAAAATATCTGTTGTCTTCCCTTTTTGTAGGTGAAGTCCGTGTGAAATGCACGATATCATGTGGTTTATTTCTTCTGAATTTATTACAAATATTTGACTTTCAGAATTATTTTTTCATGGCAAAAAATATTTATTTTTTTTTCCTTTTACCTGGTAGTTTTAAAGTAGGTAATGTGAAACTTCTCCTTGGGATTATAATTTATGGGGACGCAGACATGTTTGACACTGTGTGCTGAACTTGTCAAAGTTTTTATAATATTAGTTCCACTTTTTCTAACGAGTTTCCTTATAATTAATATCGATTTGGGCCACTAAGAAAATTGATAATTGAATTGGTTAAAAAAATTCGTTAACGAAGTACGGAAGGATAGAAAGAAGCTTGAAAGAGAGAATCAGAAATGAAATAGCGGGACAATACAATATCATACCAATTCAAATAAATAATGTTGAAAAATCAAATATTATTTGAGTTCCTTATTGTGCTCTATAAATTATTCGAGGACAAGTCACACTAAAATTTGGAATTATTATAAGACAATTAGAGGTCGTTGTTAAATGATTGTGCATTTTGATTAAGACCAATCACAAGATAGCAATATGAAATATAAAATTAGAATGCCTAAACTTTTATGTACATCGTCCACGATTTTCATATTTCAAACTGTATAATAAATTTGGCTGCATCCAAAAATAATATTTTATTCAAGAACTTGGAAAACTTGGATGTGGTCTACTGAAGAAAAAATAAAGCTGGAAATCTTGAATTAGCCACTTGTTGGAGTATATACCAAACGAAACACATTGGTAGAGTTCTAGTGAATATGATTTCTTCGTAAAATAGCACGGTATAGCCAGTTTTCGAACTGGTCATTCAAAAATAGTCAGCGTTTACGAAGTCAATGAAAAATAGCCACTATTTTGCTGCAACAGCGACCGGTCCAGCATAATATACTGGAGTTCGGTGCACCTGTGTATGAACTCTAGCATATTATGCTGGACCGGTATACTTTGCTGACTCCAGTATAATATACTGGAGACTGGAGCACCGGTGCTCCAAACTCCAGTATATTATACTGGACAATTATACTTGCTGGAACTCCAGTATACTATGTTGGAGTTCTAGTGTTCTTATGCTGGAACTCCATCATATTATGCTGGAGTTCCAGCATACTTATCCTGGAACTCCAGTATAATATACTGACGTATTTTTCGGGTTTTGAACAGTGTTTTCGCTCAGATTTATCTTTACATGAAAAGTGGCTAAATTTCGATTACTTTTGAAACTGGGCTATTTTTGAACGACCAGTTGTAACTCCGGCTATTTTTGAATTTCACGCGATTTCTTCACCTTTAAATAGAAGCTTCGGGTTCAAACACTGAATATAAAATTAAAAAAATGATAAAGAGCAATTTCCTTTTAATAGGTTTTACACAATGCAAATAAGAATTAATCGGGAGTTTCAATATAGATATTGTTTGACTCAAAAGATGTTAAGACCTATTTGAACAAATCTACAAAAGATGAGAGGGTAAATCATAGCTGAATATAATAATCTCTAGAATGATAATGAGTAAAGAGAAGAGAGCAGCAAGTTTTCTTTTTATCCAAGATTCACAAGTTTCCCAGAATATTTCACTACCCTTTACAGGGTCCTTCTTTCCCTCTTATATACAGAAAAACCCTTCCGAAATGTAAAAAATACAGTATAAGGAATATTCGGCAGAATATTCTTAATGTCCCCTAATGGGCTTACATTCTTAAAAGGGTCGTACAACTTCTATTTTCGCCTTGAGGTCGTCTCACTCTGGACGCTGATTCGTCAGTACTCGATCGTTGGTCGCACTCATCAAAAGGTTGAGGTCGGTCAAATTTAGACCCATACAGTTAGTCCCTTTGCTTGTCGGGGTTGCAATCAGATGCGCTCTCGATGAGCGGACTTCGTGCAATCTTTTGGAGAAATTTGACATGTGGGAACGTTACGACATGGCTGATGGGAGTTGGTCACCATGTTTAGCAAAACATCATGTGGTATACTCCTCCGGGAAATGATGTCAGTTTTACGTGTGTCATTATTACGCAGGTTTTCGAGGCGGGGACTGACGGCTTGATGCTTCGATTCTTGCACTGCTTTGAGGTCTGTCGCCTTCCAATCCTATAAATAGGTGAAGGATTTGATTTTTTGAAAAACTTTAGTCATTCCTCCCTTGAAGACCTTTTTCATTCTCTCTTTCTGGCTTCCTCATCCTTCCGTTCCGCTTTCATTCATCGCCTGAAACTTCTTCCTTCCTCCCCCTGTGTTGATATTACTTCAAACGATATTATGTCGAGGTCTCGTCGTTCTCGCGAGGAGGTTCCTCAAAACCACCCCATCATCAATGGTGCCTCCCTCTGACGGCGGGGATGCGATGGTAGAGGAGAATAATAGCCCTCCTACGGTAGAGGAACTGCTGCCTAGGCATCCTTTATCCCTGAGTGACTTCCTTAAAGATCCACCTCCTACCCCGAATCCCATGTTTTCTGAGACGGAGGAGGTCTAAATTGATGCTCTTCGCATAAAATATGGCATCCCTGCTCATATAGAAATGGTTCCAGCTGGGAGAGACTACGTAGACGTCCACAGACCTGGATACTGTGCTTTCTACGAGTACCTATTCATGATCGGCTTCACCCTTCCTCTCTTCCCTTTAGTAGAATAATTCTGTAGATTTTACCAAGTTTGCCCACCGCAACTTTCACCATACACGCTCAAGGTGCTTCTGCTATTGACTAAGTACGCAGAGTTGGTGAAGTGTAGCGTTTCTGTCCACCACCTTTTGCACTTGTTCACACCGAGCTTCCTTAGGGGTACCACGGTGCATCTGAGGCTTCGTGGTACGAAAGGGCTGGTGGTTGGAACGGATGACCGGGCGAGCCGCAAGTTTTGGCACAAGTACTTCTATATCAAGACCGAACACGTCGTTTCTGACTCCACCAGATTTTCGGAGCGGTGGAACGGAACTCGTAAGTGTCGTCATTCATTATGTTCCCCTCTCTTCTGTTTTTACCATAAAGTTTACTTACTTGTCATTTTGCAGCTATGGGTCGTCTGCCTCGCCCCATTGCGGGTATTAAGGATTGGGTAGACCGCCTATTACCTCATGCAGCAGAAACTCGAACTTGGCCCGCCTTCGTTCAGCGTTATGGTCCTAAAGTTTCCTCAGGTAAATATCCTACTTACTATTTCATCGGTCGTGCGACCTTGATTAATGGTACGACCCTTTGTGGTGAAAGGTCGAGGAGCTTCCAAGCGGAGGGCGCTAGTTCCCGCCTTTAGACAAATTATTGCTACTGCGGATATGTAGTTTATCTTGAGTGAGTCTGTTCGAGAGGGTCGTCCTCAACCCGTTCAATTGGGAGATCCGCCCCGAGTTATGGCCACAAAGGAAGAGGCCTTTTCGGTACCGATCCCACATCCTTTGGATGAATCTTCTAACGGGGATGAGCCGTTGGAGAGAAAAAGGAGGAGGCTGGAGCTGGGGAAGGGCGAGGCTACGGACGTCGACGGCAGTAGGACATCCCGGACAGCCTCGGTACTCGTATTCATGGCTGATGCCATTTTGTCGGGGAAATCTCCCCAAGTGGAAGGAGTTAGCTCGGGGGCCGGTTCAGTGCGCTCTATTGAGGGCGGGGCATCGTCTAACGTTGAAGGGCATCGTGCCGAGGGTGACAGCTCGGGTTCGGATATCAACTCGGAGGACGTTAATGAATTTGTAGGTCGTCATACCCATGTGGAGGTCAGGATGGATGGATCCGACCGTCATATGGTCATTTCGGGGAGTTACAACTTATTGCTGAACAACGAGCATGTGGCATCGGCCTTAGATCCTCTATGTGTCGCTCCTGAAACCGAGATGCTTGTGGCGATGAGCGACGTGGAGTTATCTCAAAAGGTAGCCAGTAAGGCCCTGCAGGTAGGTGCCTTTCCTTCTCTTTTTGTCGTTGGATTGGTGCGGTAATCGTCATTCTGTATTTTGTTCCTAACTTATGCCCTCTTTTGTCAGACCCTCGTCATGGAGGTGGAAATAGAGCGTCGAGAGAGAAGAAGGACGGGCCTTTATGAGAAGATGTCGTCCAAGTATTAGTAGTATTGTGCTAAGCATCGGGCGATGTTTGACATTTATCATCAAGATCCTGAGTTCCAGGTGTTTCGTGAGGGGCTTAAGAAGCGGGAGGATCAATTGGAGCGCAAGATAGAGGAGTTGAGGGAGAGGGACGAGGAGATCGTGAAGGCTGTGGCCTGCAACAGTGAACTGGATGCCTCTTTTAAGGCGAAGGAGGATGAGGTCGAATTCAGCAAGGGGTGGCGGCTGAGAATGCCGACTTTCAGGCAAAGGTGGATGATTTGACCATTGAGTTGAGTACTAAGGTAGCGGAGATTGAGGGGCTCAAGGGCGAGCTGGACGTTAGTGCCGATAAGCTGGCGGCAGCTATTTCTGAATCCGTGTCTTTGAAAGATGCCCTCCGTATTTCCAGGTCGGAACTGACTGGAGAGAGGGAAACCTCTGGTTGATAGGTTGTAGGGATCGAAGGGCATATTAAATTGCTAGAGGCGGAGTTGGCTGCATTAAAGGGGTAAATGGCCTCGCTGAGGGCGAAAGAGGCGAGTCGACGTTCTCAGCCTTCTACATCTCGTGCCTCGGCCAATCCGATTATGCCTCGCCGTCTATACGAGATGTGGTTCCATGTGAAGGCTCGGCTTGATGTGTATAAGGCCTTTCATGCTGAGGGAAGGGCTACTGAGGCGAAGGTTCAGGCTGTGCACGTCAAAGCTCGTGCAGCTCGTGAACCATGCGGGTATGACCCCCTCACACCTGACGGGGGTGGTATCAACTCTGATGATGTGAATCACCTCGCTTCGGATTCGTGGTAAGAAGACACTTATCCTGCTGGGATGATGTGTAGACTTAGTTTGTATTTGCTTTTGTTTAGGAATTTTTGCACGGGATAAATGATGTGTACACTTATCCTTCGGATTCGGGTCGTACTTAGGCCTGTTTGAAGAGGCGAATGTAAATGATGTTTTGCTATAATGTAAAATTTATTTTTGTTAGTTCGTTTTTTCTTTCATTTATTGTACACATGATACGCCTTTGGCTATCGGGATATTGCTTCGAGCTGTCGTCGAAGTAGAATCCCGTCGTAGTTCGAACGAGGTCGAACTTATATCATCATCGATGGCCTTGGCCATTGGGATGTTGCTTCGAACTATTGTCGAAGTAGAATCCCGTCGTAGTTCAAATGAGGTCGAACTTATATTGTCTTCGATGTCCTTAGCCATTGGGATGTTGCTTCGAACTATCGTCGAAGTAGAATCCCATCGTAGTTTGAACGAGGTCGAACTTATATTGTCATCGATGGCTTTGGCCATTGGGACGTTGCTTCGAACTTTTGTTGAAGTAGAATCTCGTTGTAGTTCGAACGAGGTTGAACTTATATTGTCGTCGATGGCCTTGGCAATTGGGATGTTGCTTTGAACTGTCGTCGAAGTAGAATCCTGTCGTAGTTCGAACGAGGTCGAACTTATATTGTCGTCGATGGCCTTGGCAATTGGGATGTTGCTTCGAACTATCGTCAAAGTAGAATCTCGTCATATTTCGAACAGGGCCGAACTTATATTGTCGTCGATGGCCTTGGCCATTGGGATATTGCTTCAAACAGTCGTCGAAGTAGAATCCCGTCGTAGTTCAAACGAAGTCAAACCTATATTGTCGTCGATGGACTCGGCCATTGGGACATTGTTTCGTACTGTTCTCAAAGTAGAATCCCGTCATAGTTCGAACGAAGTCGAACCTATATTTTCGTCGATGGCCTTGGCCATTGGGATGTTGCTTTGTACTTTTGTCAAAGTAGAATCCCGTCGTAGTTCAAACAAGGTCGAACTTATATTGTCGTCGATAGCCTTGGCCATTGGGATGTTGCTTCGAACTGTCGTCGAAGTAGAATCCCATCGTAGTTCGAACGAGGTTGAACTTATATTGTCATCAATGGCCTTGGCCATTGGGATGTTGCTTCGAATTGTCGTTGAAGTGAAATCTCATCGTAGTTCGAACGAGGTCGAACTTATATTGTCGTCGATGGCCTTGGCCATTGGGATGTTGCTTCGAACTGTCGTCAAAGTAGAATCCAGTCATAGTTCGAACATGGTCGAACTTATATTGCCGTTGATGGCCTTGGCCATTGGGATGTTGCTTCGAACCATCGTCGAAGTAGAATCTCGTCGTAGTTCGAACGAAGTTGAACCTATATTGTCGTCGATGGCCTTGGCCATTGGGATGTTGCTTCGTATTGTCATCGAAGTGGAATCCCGTCATAGTTT